CTATAGTTTTTTTTCTTTTGAACTACCTCCATTCTATTTTCACAATTTCTCTCCCATTATGAAACCCCTTTGTCACAGCATGATTTAGGTGATATAAGCTATATGCATTTATCTTTAGTACTTGCCAGGTGTTTTAAAGCACATTCACAAAAGAGTTTTGCGTCTTTTGAATAACAATTGGTTACAAAATGTTGACAATCCTCACATCCTCCTCCCCAAAAAAATGTTCAATCATTTTATTGTAAGGCCACACCAATTTAATTTGTTGTTTCTCGGATTTGCTCTATCCATTTATTTTTCTGATTTGAAAAAAAAAATTTGCTTGGAATGTTTTTTCTTTCCTCCATTTTGTATGTATGTCCAGATCTCATCTTTTGACAGTCAAGAGAAGACAACTTCAGTTTAAGAGTTTACTGACATTGCCCTACACTTATACCACCAACAAAAGCAGAATTAAGAAACCTTAAATCAAACCTCAATCATATAAGATGAACATCAAACCTACTACATTTCTCTCCTTCATCTTCCCCAAAGAAACAGTCAGGGCTGAGGTCACACAGGTGGTCCCAGGGGACACAAAGGGTATTCAGACAGGTGTACTCTTTCTCACCACAGGCAAGTGTTGGGAGATCTGTAGATTGTCAACAGCAATGACAAACTGTTACAATTCAAATTATCTTTGTTGAAAACAGTAAGATAGAAGAAAAGGTTGAATCCACAGAGGACAACTAATGTGTAGAATAAAGAAGGCAAAAACTCCGCAATTTGTCATATGTAAAATCTTAAATTTCAAGCACTGACTGATGTGTAACTGGTAGAAAAATTGAGGATAGAATGAGGAAAATGAGAACAATCAAGCAAACATGTACATGTATATCCAGTAATGTTACACAATGCGTGCATCATGCCCATACATGTAATGTTAGCCTGACAAAACAAAAGGAAAGACTTTGTTTGGAACTTGTATGTTAGATATTTGCCTCTCAATGTAAGTTTAGTCAGGCCACATACCTGGGGAGCATGAGTCCATAGTGATGTCATCTAGGGCCACATGACCTATAACACTCTCTCCCTGTATGTACTCAAACCCCAGCCTGAAGCCCTGTTCAAATTTCCCTAATTCGATTTCTTCCTCTTTCCACTGATCTAAGACAGTTCTATGGAAACAACAGGTAGAATAGTAAGGTTAATGTACATTATTATTGTAAATCAGTTGAAAAACATGTAGATTCATGCACAGATTTGATTGCTAAAACTATAAATATTGAAACCCATCTTATCTTACTGTTGCAGTACTACATATACATTTAACTAGGTTTATATCAAGAGAATAGTAGATGATGCAAACTCTTTGTACATGCAAGAGAAAGTACTGAAATAATGAGAATACTTCAACTGACACATTCTGGCCCTCTGTTGCCCATATCTCTATGGAAGTGTTGTCCACATACAGATGTAGCAGCAGGGAACCAGTCAGGTTTGCAGACACATGGGAGGCAAATCGCAGCTTACACTGAGGCCCACTTTCTCCAAAATATGGACTGAGTAGCTCAGCTGTGAACCCCGGGTTGTGTTCCAAGGCATCCACAAACATGTACTGGCCTGCAGTGATAATGAATGTAGTAGAATATTACAATAAGAACTACTAACAACTAGAGTTCCACGATCGCATACCTTCGCCAAATGATGTTAGCCTTTATGACTAAGAAATTATAGATTAAAATCCCTGATTGTGCAAATAGGATCCTATATCGCAATAATTATATCTGTTGATCATATTCTACACCAGAAGACAGTCTTATCTTATCAATGCATGCCATTATAGCATGTCCTCATAAATTATGCAAATGAGGTCCTTATTTGAATAAGTTATCTTTAATTATGTTCACCCTCACATAACTTTCAAATATCCCAAGTATGAAATTCCTCACATTACCAATATGTAATTCTAACATTTTCTCATTAATTATGCAAATTAAGTCTTCATTTGCATAATCGATATCTGCCTGTATTTCTGCCGTTCTGAATTACATATGTCACAAGCTTGAATAGTCCTATCATGGAATGCAGCTGATTTATAGAATTTGCTCATTAATTATGCAAATTACATTATTATTTGCATAATTGTAATATCATTATGTCAAGCATCACTTCAGCTACCTGCATGCCAAAAATCACGACGATCCATTAATCGGTTCTTGAATTAACCGCCTTTAAATATTTTTTAACCAATGCCCCTGCAGTTCCAGAGCAAGCCGCTAGGGGGCCCAAACTCACGTCACTTGTTCCCCAGCACAAGAGCTACCTACCATCCAAATTTCGTCAGCCTAGCATGTCTAGATCACGAGATATCAAAACCGGAAGTTCAGCTGCAGTACCATAACAAGCCGCTAGGGGGCCCAAAATCTAATCAGTTCCACGTCTCATCAAGACCTACACACCTACCAAATATCAAGACAATCCATCCAGGCGTTCTTGAGTTATCGTGGTCACACACACACAGACACACGAATGCCTCTGAAAACATAACCTTCTTGGCGAAGGTAATAATACAACTTGTTTCCATAGACCAGTGTCAGTATTAAAAAATACCCCCATTTTATTAGGTTCAATGTTAATACAGGACAAAAGCTGAGCAGCCAGTAGAAAATTCGGAATGCAAACAACACTAAATCAGCACCTTGGACAGATATCAGATACATGCTATTTTCTGTATAGAATATAGACATAGAAAGACTGTGATACATGTATGTTGTAGTTAATGACAGTTTTTCATTTAAAGTAAATTGTTCAATCTGTTTTTCTTGTTTTCATTTTTGCACATATTCCTCCAATCATGTTGTCATGTAGGAAACTGTTCATCATGAGATCAAATTTGGATGTCCTTACCCTGTTCTGTGTCCTCAGTGTAGTCATACTCAGGCAGAGTGGAGCTGACAGACAGGCCTGAGCCCACCCTCCAGCCCATCTCCTCAACCAGAAAACTCTCCATCCAATCACACGGGCTCTCAAAGTCACAATCTGGTGGGTTCCAGAACACACAGGGGTTTCAGAGTAACATCCATTCTCAATGTAGCTTGTACATCATGTTACCAACATGAATATTATCAATTATATCAGAGCCTTTGTCTCAGATAGCACAAAGTAACTTTCATTGGTCTAAAGTATGATTTATTAATCACTCTCACAGGATATTGCTACAGTAACTGCTACAATTATATCTACAAAGAATGGTACCTAATTTCAGCTCTTACAGAGGTAATTTGCCAATTAAACTGTTTGAGAAAATTTCTGGCCTGCCTACCATCAGATTTTTTTCTAAAAGTAGAAGGAGACTGAAACTCCAACATTAGTTTGTTTTGAAAAAGCTTGATTGAAAGTTACTCACTACAGTGGAATTCGTCTTCTCCCCCTGGGCAGTCTTTCTTGAAGTTGCAGTCAGCTGAAGACAGGCATGTGCTGCCATCATAACAGGCAAAGCCACCAGGAGGACAATAACCTGCATGATTAGGAGAGACATTTACAGACAGGCACTACTACTACTACTCATTTGTGTTTGCAGAAGTCTGGAGGAGGAGGCTTAGGAAGGTTTTCACTAAATCTCACTAGGATGACATATGGTGGAACATATTTGTGTGATTTCTTAGGTTTACAGTTATTTGAATACCAGGACAAACTATACTGTCTTCCATTGCATAATGTACAAAATCTCTCCAAGATTTTAGATAAACATACTATGACATTATTACAGTCCTTCCACTGTCTGCCTTCCCTTCTCAATATATCATTTTTATGCTGTCTTTGGGGTCCTAGTATCAGGCCCTTTTTGTTTGTCCACAGAAGAAAAATCAATGCTCACCCTTATATTTTTCATAAAATGCCAGATACTATCAAATTTAAATACAGGAAGACTAATGGATGAGGAACTACTGCCATTAGAAATTCATCACACAAATTTCTCTGGTCTACTTGGGAATCATGCAAAACATAACTGAATAGAATATTAAAGGAACCTTGAAGGAGAACAGGTAAATGGAAAGCTTGAGACCTCCGTCATAGTAACCTTGAAAGATTTCTAGAACAATATTTGATGTACTTCCTCCGTTGTCCTGTACATTTGTACATGTATACAAACTAAAACTTTGAACCCCAGAGTTGTCCATGGTGAATCTTAAACCTTTTTTTTTAATTTAACATATGTATAAGAATAGTATAGCCTGGAATATTTGCCCTTGACTTGTTTTCAACCACAACTTTTCCTGGTTCTACTAAAAGAAGACTTCAAATGCTTCACCGTGTAATAACGTTGTTACTATATGTACAATGTATTTAAAGATAGATAATCAATAGAGATGAGCACTTTGTAACACCACAGACACACACAGATAATTATCTTACTACAGATAGACTGGGAGGAAGCTCAAAGCTTTTAAGTAATAGAGACTTCATACTGAGCTTTTCTGGTATGACATAAACTATAATTAAATACAAATAATTTTGACACAATTCTGTGTCTATCATGGCTCTTGAGAACTCAAACAGCACTGTTTTCCTGTTGTCTACAGAGCTAACTTTACTTTATTCTTTTAAATCTTTAAAAGCCAAGATTGCCAGTGATTATGATGAAAGGTGAATTTGTTAGGTTGCAACTGGGGGGAATAACACAGTATTTATCTAATGAAATCATCTGAAGTTCTTCTCCCTCACTTGTGGGGATTTTTCAGGGATAAACTATAATTTTCGACAGTAATGTTAACAATGCTGTCAGTCAGTACCATTCAGTGTTCATTTTCATGACACCGTTGTCCAGCTCCAGTTCCCAAGAACAAACACGCAGCAAACACTGTTGAGAAGCAATCAAATTGTGCAGGACTACGGCCCACTTTACACTTGCTTTTTAAACTGTAGTACTACACATCGTAGTCTACTTCTGTAGTAGACTACAGCTTTTTTCTGGGTGTAAAGGAGAAAAGAATTGTAGTCTACTACAGAAGTCCACTACACCCTCCGAGGCTGTAGTACTACACTTCAGCGGAGGTTCTACGAGACTTTGAGCTGAGTGTAAAGCGAAACTGTAGCAGACTACACTTCGAAGGCGACTACAGGTCAGGGCAAAGATTGCAGGGTTGCGTCCTAGTACGCGTCTCCCCCTGACAATCCGTCTCAGCCTCCTCCTACGCTGCACATGTTCTTGGCGCCTTTGGTTCATAAAGACTTTGATCATGAACAAGAAAAAGAGCATAAGAGCTTCTGCCTCTCCTGCCATTGTGGTCTTTTGGAACCACAGAAAGGATGAAAGTGATGCAATCATAAAGTTTTCGATCCTGTTCGATCCGACGTAATTCGATCCGAACGTGTGTTCTATTCTATTTGGGTCATTGGGTTATCTACGGTCATTTACAAGTTTACACCATATGCAAGGATGCCAGCATATCACAGCCGTGCTAAAAATCCACCCGCGATGTGTCAAAGGTCACTATAGGTCAGATTAGGTCACTACAGTTCCATGGCAATCAGGGAACAGCAGGGGTCCTGCGAGACTTTCTTTCAGTAAGTGTAAAGTGGGCGCTAATCTTTAGTCTACTACAGAAGTAGACTACGATGTGTAGTACGACAGTTTCAATGTGCAAGTGTAAAGTGGGCCTACGTACAGAGATAAGGACAATCCCTCACTATGTTATCAAGGATGATGATAGGAACAGTTGCAAAACCTAGGTTAAGGCCCCATCAGCTTTGTTGCTTGGTTCACACCACTTTCATTTTTCCATCATCCCTAGAATATAAACTAAACCCGTTTAAGACTTTAGCATGGCTTTTAATAAACTTTCACAGATTTACTTGCATTTACATGTAGTGTTTTTAAATAGAACATCTGTTTAATAAATTATGAGTTTTGGAGTAGTTGCCGGTGGCACATTCTGCAGTACTGTAAGTTGTCATTTGACATTTGTATGTCACTTAATGACTTCCATGTTAACACTTTCTCTTGTTTAGAGAGGCAACATGCTGCTTGGTGTATGATGTAGATAACACAAAAACGCAATTAGAGGTAGATGACAAATATGGATAATAACAGTCATGTTCAGGTAATTGGCCCCAAGAGAAGATTGTGCTGACAGAAATCCTACCTTCCTCTTAATGTGATCTAACTTCCTATAGTATGATACCAAACTGAGTGTAGAAGTATGTAATGGTGCCATATGGAACCATAGAGTGCATGGAAAAACGTATAATACAATTTTGTAAAAGTAGGAAGAAAATCATCACCCTGTGATATAAAAGGGTCATAATAAAAGTACATGTATGGGTACCATCTGGCTCCTGATTGCATGCATGCTGACATTGAGGTAAGTTTTTATCAGGAACAGGTCATAAAATCATAGTAATGGGTTGTCATGTTTTAGCTCAGAAAATCATCAATTTAGTCAAAGGCTTAAAGCACAGAGCCTTCATAATAAATCAAAATGCCTATCACTGATGCAATGCATGTTTATATGACTACTTTCAGAACAAGCCTTCCTATTCTCTCAATCACACCCATTCCTTTTAGATTCCATTCTCATCATTTATATCATAAAAATGGCAATATCAGAATGTTTTGTCTCTTTAGATAAACCTGATATAATGTTACATTTCAACAGAATGGAGGATTTCCTACATGTAACATACCTGTTCACTTTGTATGCCATGCATAGGCTGTGCAGAATGCCATTTCCAATCAATAATCAAGTCCATGATGAACCAAGCTTACTAAGGTTAAAGAAGGACATAGCATAAAATCCACTGGCTGTTTCCTAAAAAGAGTGAGAAGAATGCTAAAAGAAGGGCTGCACAAAAATTACAAGCCCTGGCCAAGGCCAAGGCAGAATAATAAAAGGTTTGTATGCATTGTTGTTGGCAATGGCAGTAATTGGTTTCTTTCTTTCCTTTTAGTCAGAACCTGCCTACATATTAGATTTGGACCAGGCTAGAATGGATTGTTGGAATGGGAGTTTGAATGTAAAGAGGTGTAGCTTCTGAAACTTTCATTTTCAAGGCATTATGACTCAATCCATTTAACTGCAGACATTATCTTTTACCCCCCTCACCATCCTTACTGGTCCATCCCTCACAGCCCCTCTGTGGTGAATACTGATTCAGGAGCAAGCCGACATGTATGTGATGTTTTCCTGTAGTGATTAATGATGTGGGGTGTGCACAAGGAAATTGCCATTGAGCCAACAGCACAGTTTAGAAAGCTCACATTGGCACAGTATGTGTAAATAAATATATTGCTCACAGTCTTTCAAAATCCCCCCTTTCATTCCCCTATTCGGATGAATAAAATAAGGCTATGACACCCTGCAGAAAAGCTACCCAAGCCATTGATGATATCCATCTTTCATGTTGACTGTCACATTGCTGTCATAAAATGTGATGGGAAAATAACTGGGGACAGCCCTATGTTCCAACAACCCTACATTCTGAAATATAGGATTTAAGGATTCAATGAGGTTGAGATGTTGGGGTGTCTGAGCATGTGTAACTGGAGGTTATGTGTTAGATACACCATATATATGTAGGGGTAGGCAATTTTTAACTGGTAATAACTTAAGCATCGGTCACAACCTGCCGTACGCACATCTTCGTGCTGACTTCGTGCACATGCTAGTACATACCCACACATGCTAGTATGGGCAACACATGTGCCCCGTAAAAACCCCACAAAAAGCAAAAAGCGCGTACAATGGGTTGTGATCCAAGCTTTAAGGTGTGGTTCATGTATCTTTGCAATATTTGATAGGTAGGTTGTGGTTGGGACGACAAAAGTCTAGGCCAATTATGGGTAATCTATTGGCTGTGTATAGTACTGCAGTGGTATACATGGGTATGATATGATGATGATCATCTTGTGGACATTTAACAGTTATTGTCTTGATTTTTTAGTGGAACATAGACTACTATAAACCAGAGTGGTGTTTTCTCCACTTTCACCAGCCCCCATGCTGTTACATTTCATTATGAGCATAATAATTTACTACAGACCCTTGGGGTCAGCTGATAGACCATTGCAGATATCCTCTTTTTGTGATAGAACATAAAGTAAAACAGTTGATCATATGGAACGGGCCTGCAGGCTAGTTAAATTATTTTAGGAAAGGGTTAGGTGGTGCTCTATCAAAAACATTTTTTGATTTTCAAGCAACTGTTTATAAAAAGAAAAAGTTTTTTCATTCTTTGTTCCAGAACTTTGATGATCACCATCAAAACAGTTGCTGTGGTTTTATAGAATTCAGACTGGTACTCAACCCTGAAATCACAACCCTTTCCTTGGTACTGAAAATGACATCCAAACAATACCTCAAAGGACATGTAGAAGATTTCTATCTACATGTACACATGCGTGTCTTCACATTTTTTATACATGTATGTGTATGTGTGTATGTAGGAAGCCTCAAAATTTAATCAATGCACACACATTGCACACATAGTTAATGTTGCAATCCATTGGACTATTGG